GAGACCTCTGAGTGTCATAGAGATGTTCTTCAGACCTCTGAGTGTTATAGAGATGTTCTTCAGAACGCTGAGTGTCATAGAGATGTTCCTTAGACCGCTGAGTTTCCTCAGACCGCTGAGTGTCGTAGAGATGTTCTTGAGATCTCTGAGTGCCATAGAGAGGTTCCCCAGACCTCTGAGTGTCATAGAGATGTTCCTCAGACTGCTGAGTGTCATAGAGATGTTCTTGAGACCTCTGAGTGCCATAGAGATTTTCCTCAGACCTCTGAGTGTCATAGAGATGTTCTTCAGACCTCTGAGTGTCATAGAGATGTTCCTCAGACCTCTGAGTGCCATAGAGATGTTCCTCAGACCTCTGAGTGCCATAGAGATGTTCTTCAGACCTCTGAGTGCCATAGAGATGTTCCTCAGACCTCTGAGTGCCATAGAGACGTTCCTCAGACCGCTGAGTGTCATAGAGATGTTCTTCAGACCTCTGAGTGTCATAGAGATGTTCTAAGTATCTAGGGTGTTTCTTGATGATGTAATTTAACCAGATCTGTGTCGTTTGCATTTGCAGGAAGTCTATAAAATGCTGGATAATCGACTTTTGGAGCGAGCTGTTCACCGAACCCAGAACCTCCACACGGCAGAGTGGAACATGAATGCCATTCGCAAGGCTGTATCCCTCCTTGACCACCGAGCTATTTCGTAAGTGTAACAAACAATATTATTATATATTTACATTTGTGTTGCAGAGCCTCCAGATAACAGTACCAACTCAAAACGATTGCATGATTCAATTAAAGCAAGTGTGTAGTAATTAACAGTACAACATGTACCATTCCATGACCTCTGACCCCCCCCATCTTTCACCTGAAAAAGGCTGTTCAATTAATATTGTTTTCATGATGGTGCTTTTTTTTACCTGAAAATAAACTATTTTTTCTGAATTTCAAATAATAAACGTGGTTGTAATAGAACGTAAATATAAGGTCTGACACAGCTCTGTTCAAACATATTCTCCATCATGGAATATGTTTGAACGGAAATGTGTTGCATACCCTCATAAATGTTAAAAAGATGCATTTCAAACCTTAAATGTAGCATCAACAAATCCTCTGATTCGGTTCAAGCCTGATTAACTTATTTCTGCAGAACCTATTTGTGTCAGTAAACATCCTTTGATTTTGATTGACAGGTTTGAAGAGTTGTATAATACACGGGTAGCCTACCAGGCTTACGAGGGATTTGATATGATGGGACTACATATAGAGAAGCAGACACTGCTCAACACACTCAAGGTAAACATCACACTCCATGTAATCACAGTATATCACATTCCTTTAGCAAGACCCCTCCCATCTAGTTATCTCCTTTTTGTGTCGCCTACAACGCGTGGTGACATATAGGTATTACTTTGTTGACGGCGTCGGGTGCGTCGTCCGACAACAAAGTTTCTGTGCGATTACTTGAGTTTCCTTGGGTTCATTGAACTCAAACTGCATACAGTGCTTTCTTACTAAAAGTGCTTACTTGGGATTGATTTTCAGGTCCGAAGATCAAAGGTCAAGGTCGCCATTACTATAATAGAAAATCTGTTTCCGAGCAACAACTTGAATTCCTTAGGGTTCATTGAACTCAATCTTCATAGAGTGCTTCCTTATTAAAAGTGATAGTTTGGGATTGATTTTCAAGTGCAAAGATCAAAGGTCAAGGTCACCATTGCTATAAATAGAAAATATGTTTCCGTGCAATAACTGGGGTTTCTTTGGGTTGATCAAACTCAGACTTCATACAGTGCTTTCTTACCAATAGTGCTTGCTTGGGATTGCTTTTCATGTCCTTAGGTCAAAGGTCAATGTCGCCATTACTATAAATAGAAAAACTGTTTCCGTGTGATAAGTACAGTTTCACTAAAAGCACTAAATGGCTTTTTTTCACATTATGTGGAAGCAATTACAGACTGTTCATATCAATAGACCCCATCTTCATAATCTCATTAGAGTTGCCTGCGCAGGCGACTCATCCATTCCTTTAGAATTCTTGTTTTAATTTTTAGCATATTTTGGGAGGGATGCCAGGAGGGTTCATCCCTCTTACATAATATAACCTCACGCAGGAGGCCTCTTTCCCTTCATTCTCTCTTTCCTTTTCATTCTTTTCTCAAACTCCAAATAATTCATTCTCTCATTCTCATTCTAGTTCTCTCCTAGCAAGTCTCCTTCTTAGCCAGTTCTTAACTAACCAGTTAGATCCTAGCCTTGCCTCCCCTAGCCAGTATTTTATAGCATGTCCCCATTGAAGCTAGTTACCTCATAGCAGTCCCTCTCCTAGCTTGGTCTATCCTAGCAAGTCCCCCTCCCAGACAGTCCTTTCTTAGCAATTCCAGATTCCCAAGAGTAGGATGACTGGTTTGCCCATTGTCAGTATAATGTGACCGAGTGGGGTGTCCTGCTGGGTGTCTTTGGCAGTATGTTTCAGTGAGGTAGCACTTTAAAGTCAGCATCAGTTCCGCGCTATCACAAGGAGACAAACACGAACATATCGTAGCCTCCCAAAACACGCACGCATACACTACACACATGCATCTTGCACTCAGGGGAGGCCATCCTTAAATGACCATAGCTGTTGATAGGACGTTAAACAATACTAAACTAAACCAACCCACCTACCAAGTTAATTTAATTATCTCTTAGCAAGTCTCCCTCCCAGCCTGTCCTTTCTTAGCAAGTCCCCC